CAGCGAAAAAGCAGCCCGTAAACCTGACCCTGTTGTGCATAAATCATTCACTAGAACACTGAGTGCTTGCCATCAATGTGCAGGCTGTAATAAGGAGGAACTGCGAATGCTTTTCCTCGGCAACCAGGTAGCCTGTGCCCGGTGTGAGTTTGGAGTGATGATTTCTCTTTCTGTCCTTGCAGTCGGGCACCACAAATGAGAGCTGCATCACCGGCGCCTGCTGCTCGGGCACCTGTCCCAGCAGCAGCACCGGCTTCTGCTGTGGCGTCTCCAGCACCGAAGCAGCCTGGTCTGATGGCACAGATGGCTACAACTGCTGCTGGAGTTGCTGTAGGCTCTGCTGTAGGCCATACCATAGGTCATGCGCTTACAGGAGGATTCGGTGGAGGAAGCAGCTCTGAAGCTGCGAGGCCTGATATTACTTATCAGGTAAGAAAAGGCACAACTGGATCCCAGCTAATGAGGTGCAGTTAACTTGGGACATCAGTTATATATAGCCTGAGGCAATTGCTATAGACATAAATACCACACAAGTTGCAGCTGGGAAAACCGGGGTAACTGTAGAGACTCGGGTCTCCAAGGTAACTCCCACAACCACGAAGAAGTATCTTAAAAGTAGTTCAAAGGGATGCACGGGTCCTTGTGGTAGGGTATTTGTATTGTTTTCTACTGTAGTACCCCTCAGATTCAGACAAGACTTCCATGTTTGAAGTCTGATGACAGTAAGGTCTATCGCAAGATCTTTTTGTGCTGCTCAAACATTAAGATAATGCTGCTACCTTACCCAGGTGCTACCCAGAGTTACCTAAGTGTATCCAAAGTTACCAAAGTGTTTATAACTTACAAAGCTGTTCGAACGTGTCACGCCCCTGCTGGAAACTTATTTTGTACTTCAGCCCATTATTTATTTTCCAGTTAAAAAGTAACACAACATTTTGACTAAAACACAGGGAAGAAATACACAGCAAGCAGTACTGGGGTGGCATGGCTTCATAGGCTGGAGCTGTTGAAAGGGTGCTTATGGAGGGGGCTGCCATTTCAGGAGCCCCAAGCAGCTCAGCCTGCCTACCAGCAGCAGCAGTCGCAGTTTGCTCCTTGCCAGTATGAAATGAAACAATTCCTGGAGTGTGCGCAGAACCAGACTGACCTCAAGCTGTGCGAGGGCTTCAGTGAGGTACTGAAGCAGTGCAGGTTTGCTAATGGTAAGTAGACAGTGCTACCAAGCAACTACTAAATGAGCTAATCGGGAAAATGATCATGGGAGTAATGCCTTGTTTTTGTCAATCCATCTGGTAAAGAATGGGGATTGATACAGGGCATGTACATTGAAGTCAGTTAAAGCAAGCTGCTGTTCTGTTTGGTGTCCTGTTTTGGTCCTGTACATGTAGCTGGAGGTGATGGGGTGGAGAGAGGGTGAACTTCTGAAGCTTTTGTGCTGATGCACAGGCTGAAGCTGACAATTTGGGGGAGTAGCAGCAGCATGCTTGGAGAATCAGCATTGCTGGTCTGTAGCAAGCACCTGTTTGGCACAACAGACAAACCATCCTGACCTGGGAGAAAGGAGACTACCAAACGCTGGTGCTGGGGTGCACTGCTGAAGTCTGCACTTCAGCACGTCCCAGGAAATAGATGAGGGGAGAGGGAACACCCTAACATAAGTCTGCTTTATAGCAGGGAAGACCACCTGCTGTTCAGGGACTCAAAACTTACTGCAATTAACTGTGGTAACTTCTTACCTTTCAGGTTTAGCCTAAGCCTTCAGAACAAGGTTGCTGAACACCATCTTACAAGAACTGACCTATGAATGAAAAAAAGCTTCAGTAATAACGTCTAAAGCTGTCTGATACCTTGTTAGTTCGTATATTCACACTGTCGTCCTCCTTGTGGCTTGATTCGTGCCATAGCCGCTACAGATGTGATACAACTTACAGCCGCAAATTAATTTAGCACAAAATGGAAGAATGAACAATAAAGTGGAATGAGCTAATTTGGGTTAACTGGTTTGCTGATTGTTGTGTTGAATGTAAGTGATAGGGTGTACCAATAAACTTCTCTCTCTAGAAGTGCCTTGCTTTAGTGGACTTTGGAGTTGAGTCTGAAGCGTGAGCAGGCAAGAACGGATTTTGGCAGGCTTCTGTCTGCCAGCAATGGTGCCTGAAGAGCTGGAGCTACTGGGGTTCAGGAGCAGTCATAGCTCAGCGGTTAGCTGTCCTTGCCAGACATCTCCTGCTTGAGCATTTGAACCCCACAGATTCTGCTAATTAAAATATGTAGTGACAAGGAAGGTTGTGTCTGACTCCACACTATTTTATATGCTGCAGGTCTTGAATTCCCAATGGTACCGTGTCATTGAAAAAAGCTGTATAGTCAAATTCCAGAGATTCTGAGAAATACCTTTCCTCTGCTCAGGATCTTGGTGGTAGGCCGTTACCTGAGCAAGCCCCTGCACTATCAAGTAGCTGTGCGCTTCTAAGATAATACAATCTTGCATCAGACTCACGGTTCCTGATGACACAAGCCAAGGTTCTAGGGTGTTTTTTTTTTTAATTCCTCCATCTTGTGATGGGAGTTGTGGACTGAAACATGAGAAGGTGGTCCAGCTGACCGCGGGTGGTGCGGCCTTTTCTTCCTCACACCTGCCTTAGGCAAGTGACAGAGGTAGTGCTACCACAGGAAAAAAAAAAAATCTCCATTTTAAGAGTATTTACTGATGCAAGGTGCAAATCTTTCTTTTTACATCAGAGGGAGCAGCCAGCTCACGCCCTGCTAAAATCCCTGGAGCCTGCAGAGCAAACACCCTCCTGCGCTTCAGCTGTGCTGTAAACCTGCGCGGCAGCGAGGGGAGGATTGGGAGTCCCAGGAAGGTGTAGTCTCACGGGGGAAGCGCGGCAGGGAATAACCTTGCACCGAGAAGTGCAATTCCTGTTAAAAATACTTTTGTAGTATGACCTGGTTTTGCTGAACTGCTTTTATGCTGTTGGGTATTGTGCCTGTTCCTAAAAGCCTTCATCTCTGATCTGCAGTTCCTGGGAGCGAAAAAGATAAAAATCAGTATTCAAAGTGGGGAAGGGTTATCTCAAACATGGGGGATGAGGACAAAACTACCTCTCCTGTTCCCACGGGAAGCTTTGCTTCTGCCGATCCAGCTGACATCTCAGTTGCCAGGGCTTTCACCGTTCTGGCGATAAGAAAGAAAACCGGTTTGGGCCAGAAACA